GACACATAAACAAATTTTGTTTGGTATCTTTTCTTTTTATTAAGCATCAAAGTTGGATAAACACTTTTCGCGTATATTCAAACACCTATGAATCATTAGTCTAGGTAACTCAAAAAATATTGCAGATGAATGTAGCCTTAAAATGAGACCTTATACGGCCAATTTGCCGTAATGGTTAGATTATTACTACAAAATAGTCAGAAATTATCCATTTCTACATTTATTTCTTGCTGGAAAATGCATAACGGTAAATCTGAGGTAATAGTCAAAGCTTGAAGTATTTCTGCTGCCTAACATCCAGAAAAAAAATAATTGAAAAGTCCTTAACCGTTTCTGCAAATGACTAATTATTGTGGAGCTCTCCAAGGACTTTGGATTAATCGAATGGCCTCTTTTGGTCCCATTATCTTGCTATAGGCTTACTCTAATATCATATAAAAAGAGATATCAGATTTTCTTATACTGGTCATGTGAAAAAGCGTCTTTCACCTATTTTTGCCTTATAAACAATTAGAATAAGTCTCTCTGTATAGCTTTAAGAATATAATACCCTCGTAAAACCGTTTATTGCAATTTTTCTTTCAAATTCTAAGCATACGGGTCTAACAGTTTTGGATGCTAGTTTATATGTTTGATTTTCTTTATTATATTCAACTCTGGCCAGATAATATGACTTTGCCACTTAAAGGATAGCCGACTGAAGGAAATCTTGTGTCTGCTGATGAAACTTGTTGGCAAATGAAAGTGTTTTCAACTCAAATCGCACTGACACATTTTGTTAAGAGGGATTCAGCATCTAACTGTTAAAACCTGGTTCCATCGTAATAGTGCAATCCAAAGTATGGAGTGGCGTAATATGCCAGATAACATCTGTTTCGAATTGTAAAAACAAGAATGCGTTTATGATTTACAACCATCCCATACGGACAGTAAATCATACATTTTTTCCATAATACCGATATAATGTAATCTATTTATTTCATAATGTTGTGACAATTTAACGTATTTCCCTCGATCGTTCAAACTGTTTATATTTGGTTTATTTCTCAACATGATTATTCGATTTCCCATATATAAACTCTAAGGGCCGTATCGTCAGTCGTTCATACATATTGTAGGACGCCTTTACGGCCCCCTTGATTTTCATAGTTTCCTACTGTTTCGTGTCAACGCTCTATTTTGAGGTTATGTCACAAATATCTATTTGCATCAAATTGTTCATGCATTTGATTTAAATCATCTCTTTTATCTGTCTGAAATTTCCTACAATGCAAAAAGAAAACATAACTTCCAAATAGGAGAGCGCTGAAGGTGACATGGAATAGGTGAAATATAGATACACCCAGCCTCTCGGAAGGAGAGAAAATACTATGATAATCAAGGGAGGCCATAAAGGCGTCCTTCAATAAAGGCGTCCTACAATAATTGTAGGACGCCTTTATGGCCTCCTTGATTTTCATATTTTTCTAGTGCTCCGTGTCAGCGCTCTATTTTCAGGTTATGTTACAAATACCTAGCATCAAATTGTTCATGCTTTTGATTTATATCGTCTGGTATATCAGCCCAAAATTTCCTACGATTCAAAAAGAAAGCCTCACAATAGGAGAGCGGTGACGCTGACACGGAACAGTGGAATTATAGATTCCCCAGTGTTTCTGAAGGAGAGAAGATACTAAGAAAATCAAGGAGGCCATAAACTCCTCCTACAATATTGTAGGAACGACTGACGATACTGCCCTTAGTGGCAATGTGTCGTAACTAGGTACTGATAACAACTTATTGTACACAAACATTAATTTTTAAAATTATTAAATTAATAATTAATAAATATAAATTTACCATCAAATTATGCACATCTACAGCGTTTACAGATATCTTTCCAATCTACCTGAACTCCATTAAAGAGTGAGATCCTGAAAAATAATTTTGAAGTCCTACAATATGCATAAATATGCCTACGCAATAAAATGCACAAGAGCAGGCTTAAGAGGAAGAATAACCAAAGCTAACCTTCGCTCCTTTAAGACCTGGTATCATTATTTATTATTGACATGTAGTTAGATAATGTCAAAGATTCTTGACCCCATCATAAATGTTTTGGTTTTGATCAAAAAACACACAAAAGCTATGTTTTAGTATTTGATGAAAAATTCCAGATTTTGACTACGTGGTGTCAAGCTATGGACAACAGACCGACACACAGTGGTCTATCAATACGAAAACCTGGCAGAAATTGAAAAAACTGAGTATCGAAAATAAATGAAAATCATTACCTAGCCATTTCAAAGTTAATATTTTGAAAATTATGTTGGCCATGGAATCAGAAATATGCTCGCACTACCTTTACCATGGCAGACTGTTAAACTTCATCCGTAGTGACGTGTGTTGAAAATACTTGAGCCTCTAAATATGAATCATAATAAAGATGGTACGAACTTTCATTTGATACAACAAAACTCTGTCATCATATTTTTTCCCATGTACACCACGCATTGAACTGTTCCCCGCTTTCCCCAATTGGAATGAATGTTTTTTTTATTAATTTTGAAGTACTGCCACATAAAATGTAGTATCAGTTTTTTAGAGCTTCTGCAAAATTATGGCAGGTGGTCGGAACGATTATTCAGTTTTCTCGAATTTGACCCTAGCTGGACTTATTTTGAGTAGACTACTGTGCGACTCGAGGGCGCCCACAACCATTTTTGGCGGAGGAGGCCAATAAGAAATTGACAAGAGAAGGTTTTTCCTAAATTCATGGTAGTGTATCAAGCTGCAGAAATTTTTTAAAAGTGGAGGGTAGCAAATGTTCTAGGGAGGCCAAACCTTGAAAATCACAAATATTCCAATTTTAGAAAGTCAATCCGATTCTTAGGCGCGGCGGGGAGCTGGCGCCCTTTGCCCATTCCTGTGGGCTCCTTGGACCGACATCTGTAGAACGATAGGTGGACAGACCAGACCAGAAATACGTTATTTAGAATTCTCTTCTGGTAAGAATCTTAGAAGTATAGATTAAAAAATCTATCGTATTCAATACTAACTACATTACGTATGGACCGTGGTGAAAAAGCAGCAATTTCCCAAGCATGATATAGATTGTAGGATTTTTACAAGTCGTAATTATGATCACTATATGTCAAAATGGCGATTACCACCTGTTCAGAATTTTAAAAATAACAGTAATTTACAGCTGTCCCACATGAGTAATAAATCAGTGTTTGTGTCTTTCTTCGTTCCTGATGTAGTTGAAATTATTTCATAAACTTATTTCATAATGTCGCAAGTTGACCTATTCACAACTGCATTCTGGTGCATACCTACGTATCAATACATGGCAATTTCACGAGCGTTTCTGAAAAGGACAACTGCAGGAAGTAACATGAACAGTGTTGCCAAAAAGGATAATCAAATTGGGAAGTTATCGCGAACTGTATCCTTATGTATATATATATATATATGTAGGTTGAAAATCGGCTTACTATTTTGTTGAAAGGTAGTTTTAATTTGACTTCGGTTCCATTTTGCTATTGGACAAAAGCGGACAGGACTATCGGTTATCATATGGAAGATATACAAATATTAAACATCTACAATGATTGAGTGTAGGGCCAGATAACCAGTTATATAAAAAAATATAAATCGATTTTAAATCATATTCAATCAATCAATCAAGTAGATTAACTCTATACGTCAAACTCCTTCAAAACAATCTCTGGTACAATTTTCTCTGTAGTGCAATGACATCAAAGAGATGTGGGTTTTGTCAGAGCCACTATGGCACTATTCGCGCTTTTCATGAAAAAAAAATCTTCAGATTGCAGCAACGAGCGTGCCTGTCCGTACACGGCAGTCTCATTCCTTTGGTGATCTGGTGTAAAACTGCTTGTAAAATAATATTTGATAACTGATTATAATCGTTCTTGATACATATATAATATTACGTCACTGTATCAAATAACCTAAGTTTTAGGAGCAATTGTACGTTCAAATACATGAGGTACACCTACCCCCTCATTTTTTAGCCCTAATTTTGTTTTAAAAAATGATCATTCACAAAAATCAAAGTTTTATCAAGTGGCTGGATTTCAGACTATTAGGTTATGGTGCATATGGAGGATCTGTCAAAGCACAGCGTTGCCAGATGGGTCGGACAGAGCTTCTCAGAATTGCTAAATTTTTAAGAACAATCGCCCAAATCACAGTTGATTAATGTAAAGGGGTACTTCAGACGTCAAGTTTCGGGGTCATTTCTGCAGCACAAGCTTTTAACTAGTATGCATTTTCATCCTGACTACAGTCCATGAGATTTTCCAGACAAGCAAATCATAGACTTGTTCCTTCTACCTACTATACTAAACCTTAACGTTGCTTATTGTTAGCGATGGTTTTTGTAGTACAAAAGCAAACGATTTTTTGTAGTAAACATTGGACTTTGCTTCCTGTTCCCCAAATTTCGATCACTGAAAAATAAGTATAAGTATATAAGGGCTGGTATCTAAAATACGTCATGACAGTTTTCCGGCTTTACTTGAAGTCTTGATCGCTAATAATTAATATAGAAAACATTTGCTTACATATTGCATACAGTTATTCCATAAATTGCATTGAATTTATATGCATATTAAAAAATTATTGAACAAAACTTTTTATTATTGGATATGTTTAAGTATGGAATCTCCAGGGTCATTGACGTAATCATTTGATTCAGTATTTTAGAAATATTACTTGAAACTCTAAAACTGATCAACTAGTATTCACCATGTACTTCACACAAGGTAAATGACTGAAAAATGAGTGAAGCTTAACATTCTTTTTGTAGAATCAACTTTTGTAAGGGTTAATGCTTATCACTACTGTATATTATGCATAATCTTCCAACATCTTCTCTCCTCACACCCCTGAGTGACAATAATTGCTACCAAGTACCGATGGACAGGTGCCAATTTTAACTATTAACATCCAAGTATAAGCTAAGTGACAGCTTTCCACGTTCATTCCGGACGCAACAACCTACGGACACTGAATCCGAGCGGAAAAAGAATATAAAATCCCACACGTCGCTATTGCCCCTTGGCATTTCAAAACTGAGCGTATTATTTATTTATTATTGATAATGTTTTGCCGCGTTATGCTGCGACTTGGCCGTCGCTTAAAAAGTTGCAAAAATATTATTATTGAGCCAAGAAGGTCGCTTGGCATAGTATAAAATGAGGGGTTAACATATGTGGAGTATCATTTCGACTGTATCTACTGCTATACCCGCATCATGAACACTTTGGTGAGTATTGGTGAGAAACATCTTACATAACTTTCTTCCTAATCCATTTTCTCTCTTAATCATCTGTTATTATTTTTACTTCTCGCGCTTACTGACGCAAAAGTATTGTAATCTCGAAACATTTCGAAAATGAGATATGTTTTTTTCATATTGTATGACATGTACATTACGAAAAACCATGTCATTCAATTGCGTCTGTCTGTCCACCAAATCCTATAACCGCATACAATATAACAGAACCGTTCGGATTTCGATATTTCTACACAATGATACTACTATCCCAAGGAAAAAAAGCTTTGTAGTTTTTGAAAATCAGTCCAGTGATGGCGGTGGAACAGTACAAAAATCGAAAAATAAATCAAACAAAAATTGCTCAAACTTTTTTTGACGATTCAGAGGATCCTAATCATTTACAGAAAACCTTTGTTGGGGTTAGTGGTAAAGGGGATGGGAAAGGGTGAAGATAATTTTTTTGGCATTGGTATACTCACATACCTCCAACCTCAGTAGTTATATGCACCTTTGTACACACCATTTAATCTTCAAGATATTTAAAAATTAATCTCAGTCTTACTTCAATGCCTCTCTTCTCCTTTTTCTTTCTCCCTCCTACTATTGGCGGAAAAATGTATTTTTTGTTGAAATAGCTGAATGAGGAGTACTTTCGACATTAAGCCATGGTATGCTTACTGCTGCTCTGACCCTATTGTCTGGCTTTCAGTATGAAGTATTAAATTACCTTTAAAGAAATCCATGTGAAACCTACCCCTGTTTATCAGGGATGATGTTATCGTTACTTATTTCAACACTATTAGTATGCTATTTCGATGTGCTATTTGGCGAAGTTGAATTGCAGTTTTCTCATATCAAAATATTTTTTTCTGCAATATTTCATAAAATATAATTTCGTATTGGTTTTTCGGAGCATACAGCTTTTGTTGATCTTCATTCAAAACACTGCAAATTTCTTCAAAAGAATCCTTATAAACTTTGTTACTCATTGTTTTTTGGTCCTTGGATATTGTGTGTAGATGGGCTTTAGAGTTTTTTTGATTCTGCTGATATCGGACGTAGGTACATAACTAGATATTTGTTTACCGTCTATCCCTACGTATTGTCTTGGCCAAAATATACTGCAAAGCGTTTTCTAGATCATAAGTCACAATAATCAATCAAAAGGCAGGCAAACCAAACATGTGAATTGTGATAGTATACAGAAGATTGACATGGGTGTGAAAAAGTAACACAGAAAGCTTCTTTCATAAACCGATTTTCAAAGAATACAATTCCCCAAAAACTAACAATCTCGCTCAATTCTTTTTGGTTATCCGGGGTTTTCTCGTCACACCTGCTGACATTTGAACATTATTAAATGTGTTAATATCATATTGCTGCAATGTAGTGATCTACTTAAGATACTCGCTGGTGTCCGTTATGTATATAGGATCTAAAAAAAATTACAAAAATAATTATCGTGTAGAGAAGGTCAGTCTGTGCAATACACTATATAAAATGTGGAGTTCAAGCATATGGCGATTCATTTTAATTCCATTACTTAATACATCTGCATTATGAACAGTATGGTAAGTACCCCTGCATCAGTTCATGTAACGGTCCATTGGTTAATAAGTTTTTACGGTTAGAAGGAGCAGTATTTTTATTTGAAAGTTTTCGAAGCATCCCTTTATTCGCATAATGGAAACTTCTCATAGTTGATTTGTCTACACTCAGCCTGCTGCTTTATCTGTTAACAAATTGTGTTTCGTATTTTAGAGTAAGATTTTTAGCACGAATAAATATTATTTTTTCGTTGTTTGAGAAGGACTTCATCGGACTGAGTAAATCCCATTTTTTTGGACAGGGCTCTCCTGTGTGAAATCCTCTAGAACGGTAGCATACTCATTAAAACTACTGTGTCATTCGCCAATCATTCCACCACGGTAATAATTTTGTCATCATTAGTAATATTATTCTCACAGTCATACATATACTATGGATACGTATGTCGAACCTAGGAAGTACATGCCTGGTTCCTTGGTCTGTTTTTATCTTCCTGTAGTCTCTCGTAGGAGTATCCTTCTGTTAGTTTCAATGTACGCAGTTCGAGTACTCCATCTACCCCTTTCAGGTAGCTGTCAGAACAAGCATGTACTACGAGAAACAAAGAGTGATGCCCAATAACATTTTCAAAATTGAAGTTAGGTTAGGTTCTTTGTGAGAGGCCAATCACCATCCTCCACTGCGACTCACAGGTCTATTGTGGCTCACACTTATTTATGTTTATTCCAGTGATTCTGACCTCCCGAGAAAGTCGATCAACTTACTTGGACAAATATCCTTCAGGTCTTCTACTTGGAGTACTAATCCCTCTTAGTGTTGGTAGATCTTTCCTTTCATCTCTATAGAGGTTATTTGTTTAGCCGTAATGTAGGCGATCCCGATCGCTGGCTCAGGCCCTATGGAGGGTGAGCTAGCCAGACTCTTTGCTAGTGTCGACTGTCTCGTTTCCCTTGAGACCTGTATTCCATATGAGGTAGACCTTATTTACATCTCCTATGTCACCAAGAGCTTCTTTATAACTCGACACTAACTTCGATGAGGAATAGTTGGAGTCAAGTGCTTGAAGCGCGGCTTGACTATCTGAAAAAATATTAATAGTCCTGTGCTACAATTGTCGTTCTGTGACCATTTTGGCCATCAGTTTTATAGCTCTGCATGGAAAATCAATGCCCAGGTTACTATGCTGCCTGATTCCTTAGTTTTCAGCTTCGGCACGAAGATACCAGCCCCAACACCTTCTTTGGTCTTGGAGAAAGCACAGAAATATTTCCTTAATATGTCAGTTTGCTGTTCTGACTCATTCCTTTGAAGGATTATTACTGGTTAGGGTTAAGCACATCTTCTTATGGCATTATATCAGAAGGCATTCCCTGACTGTGGTGGTTTTGTATGTCCACCAACATGTTCATTTCCTCCATAGTGATGTTTCCCATTATACCATTCGTCACATGATGTAGCCTATAGGTTGTCCTTCTTGCCTCGCCTTCCAGAAATTTGTGCAAGGACGGTAGGTTAGGAAGAGCCTCCATAACCGTAACTGGTGTGGTGAGAAAACCTCCAGTAATCAACATGCAATCTCCTCCCGTTAGTGCGCTTAGTTTAGCCTGTACAGTACATTGCCTCCCCAAGCCGTAGGTTATCATATCTCCAATGACTTTTGCTTAGGCCTCATTTCCCAATTGCTTTCACCGACCCTTCGATAGCTCCACAACGTGATCCTTGCCTAGTTAAGGACTGTCTTCAGATGAGAATTCCAGTATGGCGTTCAGATGCGAATTCCAGTGTGGCGTATTATCTAATATTACTCCTCAAGTTTTCGCCTCTGTCGCTAGCGATATGTTTTCACCTTGGGTTGTTGGAGGTTTGAACCCATTCAATTTTCTATTTCTAGTGAAAGGTACTATGACCATTTTTTGTGGATTAATTGACATTTCCTTCCCTCACCCACCAATCGGACATTGCGGTTAGCACTTCCTGGAGCGTTCCGGAGATATTTTACTCGGATTTTCCCTTGACCAAAATCTCTAGAGCATCCGCACATGCCTGAATTGAACTAAGATACTCAAAACATGATTTTTTGGCCAAATGACGCTACATATGTATAAATTAATTTTACTGACGTTTCAGCCACCACGCTGACCTGTTCAAATTTTAGATAATAACAACAATATGTTTTACCTTTATGTGTCTTCCAGGTGACAGTACATTCGTTTTTTCTTTTTCTCCACTACTATATGTGGCTTCAATTGTCCAGAAAATCATGGAGTGTAACAACAAATGCTACATCGAGTGGCCTGTTTATTCAGTCTATCCAAACATGGAGGAAAGAGAATGAACTTTTTTTTTTAAGAAATACATTCATTTTTAATTAAACAATACATGTTCTAATAAAATTGTACTGAGATCTGTATATTCTTCCAGCTCACTACTTTCACTGTACTGCTGTCAGCAGTATACGTCACTGCCCACGGAGTAGCCGTAGGACACGGAGGTCTAGGTTTCGGAGGCTGGGGAGCAGCTGGGCATGGTCTAGGTTTGGGAGGCGCAGGCCATGGTGGCTGGGGAGTTCCAGCACCAGTTTGGGGCCACGGTGGTGCTGGTCTAGGGGGATTGGGAGTTGGTGACCTCGGATATGGGGGTTTTGGTGCTGGAGTGCTGGGTCATGGAGGTCTGGCGCATGGCATTGGAGCTGTTGCAGTACCTGCTCATAAGGTATACCAGGCGTCTGGAGTTGTAACTGGACATGGAGCTGCGGGTCCTTCCGGTGTTGTCACTGGAGCAGGTGCTGTGGGACCTTCCGGTAAGGATGCTTATTTAACATTCGCAAATTGGTATCTTTCAGCTGTTGCTGTTTGGTCCTCCACATTTTACCTGATATTTGAGGCTCGCTTCATATCGTTTGAACATGGAGGTTCTCGTCAATATACAAGGGAGAAGGTGCAACTAATTGTTCAATCAGAATAGTTATATATTAAGAGGAGGCTACGTAAACACGATTCAGGACGCTGTTTGGTCAAATAAGCAATATGAGGTTATAAAAAGTTAGAATTCCAAGAATATTTTTTTTTATTACGAAACTCATGGTCTAAACAAGTAGATGTTCTTTCTCTTAATCATTTTGTTCAGAGAGGTACTGACATCACTATGTACAACTTGTGCTCTAGCTTCAATTTTAACCTTCTCAACTTTAAAAAGGACTAACATCATGCTTGTTAGACTGTCTGACAATGTAAGAGAGACAAGTACTGTGGCGGTATTTATAGAAGTTGTAAAAGTGCCCCAAAAGTTAAGCATCGATCACTTTTGAGAAGAACTTCTGTTTTCATGAACTACGGTGGAGATCACCCACCAAAACTGTAGTTTATAATAAAGAGAAGTTATTGTTAAAAAATGTACTACGCGGAATATGGAATGATTTAGTTTAGTATCGAAAGAGAAACGTATGCTTGAAATTGAAATGTTCTCTAACCTCAAATTGCTTATTTGACTGATCAGCACCGTCAGTCGTGAGTATCTACGCAGCCTTCCCTTAAACGAAAGTAGAAAGAAGCTTCTATTTGTATAATGTGCCTTGAAAAATAAACATAATCAAATTACGAGCCGTTGAAAGAATGTACCAACTGGGGCAAAATACATTGGACAGATTGATGAGGAACATCTAAACGACACTTTTCAATGTTAATTTATTGCGAAGTTACTTTTAATGATATGAACGAATTTTTGTTGTTAAATTTTAATAATTACTACATAAATGAGGATTGAAAGGGTTGATTGACTGCGATCTTACCTGTTGGTGGATAATCTGATTTGATTTTTGTCTTGAAATTTATATCTATAAATCCATTGAGATAGGGTTTGGTAATACCAGACTCTAAGGAAGTCTGAATTTTGATTTTTTTTGTGATATTTCCTCATATTACTAAACACGAACAGATTTGATGGAACCTAATCATTTCGAAATTGCTAGCATCGAGTGGCAACAAACTACCTTCTTGGCAACTCACCAATGGGTCCGAAACAATACGCCCTCACGGTCTATACTTGATCGTTATTTACCTTATGTGCAGTACAGTTCCAAAAGCCATTTTCATATTACAGATTCGCACATGAATTTACAAACCTTTACATTTCAGGTGTAGTGAATGGGAAAGGAGCAATTGGCCCAACCGGTCCCAACGGCCATGGACCTCATGGACATGGTGACATCGGTGTAGCTGTGGCTGCCCCAGCTGCCATTGCTGCTCCAGCAGCTATCGCTGGTCCCGTTTGGGGCGGTCATGGAGGACATGGTCTTGGTATTGGACTTGGTGCTGGTGTCCTGGGACATGGAGGTAAATAAATAAACATTGTTTAAGGTCGAGAATCAACCACTGCGAGAGTGAACAGCAGCTATTTAATGGCATCACCGCTGTGACCAATTGATGCCGCAGATTCTGGCAATATAGTAGATAATGGTCAACTCCTCATTGAAAAACTAATAATACTGCGTTTGTCGATCCGGCCAACAGGGGATATTAAGCAGCTTCAGTGGTGGCTCTGCTGCTGGCATGACTGATATACCTTAAGCCATGTACAGATATGTAACAACACCGCGAACCGAACCACTCGACGAACCGCAGCGCGCCCATTTTGACAAACAACATTGCAACGAACATCACCACAACCGAACGACGTCATGCAACCACATCGTGCAACAAAATGACGATCCAATTTTGATGTTTGTCGTTCAGTGAAAGACAAATACTAGCGGAAATGGATATAGAAGTAGCAGCAGCTGCTTATATTTATATTCAATTCACTACGAATTATCCAAAAACAAGCGACGACGAGTGCCTACACGAAACAGTAGAAATCTTTCTGAAGGACACGAAAAACTATGAAAATCAAGGAGGCCATAAAGGAGTCCTACTATTGAAAGAACGACTAACGCTACGGCCCTAAATAATTCTAATTCACTTTCAGTTGCATGTAGATCAATATTTCAATTTGATGCTTATTTTCAAGAATTCTGCTAAACATGTTTCCTCTCTATGAGAATAGTTATTATTTCCTTTACACAAAGATACTCTATTTATTCTCATAGAAAACTTGTTTCTCAAACTTGCAGTGAATATGGCATTGAGTTTGGTGTGGTCTATGTAGAATTCTTTTGGATGAGATCTGCATTTGACTTGCGTAGAACGCCGACCTTTTGTTCATTATTGCATACAACACTAAGAGCAAACTGAGAGTAGTTCCAGTTGTCGTGCAATTGGAAATGAACAATTCTCTACCAAAACATTAGACGTTTAAGCTGTTGTCTCATAGCAATATCAATTCACACTCAATCGAGCTTAGTTCAGCTATGCTCTCGTTCGTTTACTATATGCTGAGTTTAGCATCTTTAAGCTAATAGTTTTTCATTGAAAAACTGGTACTTAGGGGCTAGAACTTCAAACTTGAATTGAAATTCGCTTTCAAAGCCACTTGAGGATAAAATATATTTGTGCTTCCCTCTTATTTTCTTGACTGAGTTCTCCTTTTGTTTTTTCTTTCCATATTTTTTTCGTCGAAATTTATTGAATGATTTTTGCATTTCTATGAACTTCTCTGTGGGTCAGTTAACTGAAATTGAATTTGTTATTTTGTCAAGAAAACATATCAGCAAATATTTTAATGTTTTCAAGGTTGGGGACTCGGTGGCCATGGACTTGGACTGGGATACGGTCATGGACTTGGGCTGGGATACGGCCATGGACATGGATGGTAAAGAAGGAGAAAAAAGTAATCAAGATGAATTTACCTTTGAAATGTGATCACTGCCATAATTTATGTACCTATTTATGTATATAGTATCTATATCTATTTAATATACATTTTTCACGCAAGCCAACATCCTGTTTTATTATATCTGAGATTTAAATACGTGTATATGCATCGGGCTATCAGCCAAGGACAGAAGGGTGAATGAAAATAGCTAACAGAAATAGAAATAATATTTTGGTGATATAATGATAAGAATCACAGATACCATAAAAGACATGCAAGACTGGAAATCACCAGTACCAGATAGAGTGTAAAATTTCTGGCAAAACCACATCTTATACGACATATAGCCTCGACCAATGCGATCAATAGTATCATCAAAAGTCCAGATAATATATGTTCCAACGTGGCTAACAGCGGGAGTAACATGTTTCTTTTTCTAAAGGTAAAGGATTACTTGCTTGTCTACCATTTATAAAGTGTTAACATCAGCCTCATGAAGAAGATTATACGCATACCTAAATAAAATAAAGTGCTACCTGATGAACAAAAAGGGTGTAAAAATGGGCTAAGGGGATGACAAGACCAATTGCTGGTTAGTAAGATGATAACATCCATCGCCAAGAAACAAAAACGAAATTTCAGTATGGCGTGGATCGATTATAAAAAACTTTTTACCTACCGCATACATGGATACTGAAGACCATCGAACTATATGGCATTGCCCCCACAGTCTCCGATTTCATCCGAACATCAATGGAAAAATGGAAAACAGAGGTGCTATTGTATCATTTCAAATAATACATAAAAACAAGAAGTATTACCATCAAGCAGCAGTGATGGCATAGTGGTAGGCGCTACGGTCTCCTAAGCAGTCGCCGTCCGCTGCGCGGATTCGAATCCCGTCTCAATAGAGTTTTTCCCTTGGCTATGGATGTTGTGATTGTCCATAGGTGTAGACGGTCTCTGACTATCGAACGTGGAATTATCTCCCGGCGGATATCGTAGGTGGGGCCAGAATGTGTGAATGCTGCATTCAGACGTGTTCCCTCGCTAGAGTCCGTGTGGCGTCGCCCCCTTTCCCATGTATCCCCCTATAGCCCGACGATACCCCATGGGTATCTAGGCTTAAGGCCTTCGTGGTAGTTGGATTATACAAAAAAGCGTGCAATCTTCCAAGGCGACTCACTTTCCCCTCTACTCTTTTGTATTGCATTAATACAGCTGAGCAGTGTTGAACGAAGGAGAACTAGGTTTCATGTGGATCACAACAACAAGACAAGTCGTTTATTTCATATGAATGACATGAAGCTCTTTGTCAAATATGATAAGCAGTTAGAAAAGGAACTCTCAATAGTTAAAATATTCAGTGGCGACATCAGCATGGAATTTGGTCTTGACAAATGTGCCAAGGTTATTATGAAAGGAGGAAAGTAGCTAAGAGTGAAAACATCCAATTAAACGACGACACTAAAATAAAGAACTTAGAGAACGGTGAAAACCTTAGACGAAACGGTAGTATTGAGCACAAAGAGGTAAACGAATGACTGGCAAAGGCGTGCAAGGCCAAGATGGAGCTAAATTCTAAAAACAAGGTGATGACTATCAATTCAACTGCTGCCCCTGTGCTAACGTATAGTTTCGAAATTGTTTATTGGTTAAGAACAGATATACAGAAAGTAGACAGGAAAACAAGAAAGCTTCTAACTTGTGAAGGAATGTAACATCCTAAAGCTGCCGTTCAACGTCTCTACATCACACGGCGTGAAGGTAGACGAGGGTTAGATGAGCCAGAATCGGCCTATAGCTTAGCAATACTGGACATGAATACCTGTGCTCAGTAAGACAAGAATGCGAATATGTTGAAAAACCACGGCGCCGTGCCCAGAAAGGAAACTACCATCCTAAGAAAGAGGTAGAACGCATGAAATCGAATAACCAAAGGACCAATGGACCGTCACCATGACATCGAACACAAAAGTACATGTCAAGGCCAGTATTGCTAAGCATAAGATAGAAATGTTGAGAAATAAGCCGTTACATGATCAGTTCTACCGAGACCTCAGTAAGCCGGCCGTAGACCAAAACATCAGCGTTCCATGGCTCAGTAGTACTTGGCTGTGAAGTGGACAGTAAATGCAACATATGCAATCAAGCTGAGGAGCTCATAAGTCACATCGTAGCTGGATGTACCACACTCGCACCTGCTGAACACACAAACATGCATAACAATGTAGCAAGGTATTTACACTGGTTGATGAGCAAAAGTGGTGGCATAGAGGTCTGTGACAAGTATTATGCGCACACTCCAGAGAACAATGAAGTTGTTTACAACGAGGACATCCGTATCATGTGGGATGTCCCCACCGCCACTGATAGAACCATACCTGCGAACCACCCGGACAAAGTATATCTTGATAAAAGAACGAAAACGATGTAGCGGTTCCTAACGATACGAACATAATGATGAAGGAAGCAGAAAAGATGAGCAAATATCAAAGCCTGGAAATAGAAATAAGCAGAATGGGAATGTCAAGACCAGAACAGTACCTTTTAGTGTCGAAGTCTTTTGGACTCTCAGGAAAGGGGCACAAACTTCCAGGACAACCACCTTTTACCGAAGTACAGAAAACAGCACTGCTAGGCACTGCACATATCATCCGCAAGATATTATGGTTAATCGCTTTCGAAATTCACTTAAAACTGCCTCAACAGGGCAAGGGGATACGCTAAAATAATAATAATAACAATATAATAAAATTCGTGTGGGGTTTAGGAGAAAGCATCGTTCCACGATAAGCTCTGCGTCTCCTACGAGGCGACTAAAAGAGTAACCCCGCAGGAAGTCGACAAAAATCAAAACGTACATGGCGACACAGCCGATGCCATGGGGTACTAACAGCCGGCAGCCTATATAGGTGTATCCAGGGTGGGAATTTCACTTATTCCCCCAGGATCTTTACACCATTATTCCGAACACAAGGAGGAGAAACCTCTTCACCCATCCCCATTCGGAAGGCGATTTAGGGCAAGGTGGTGCGGTACGACGGCCCGAAGACGACCGCGCGAACTTGGACCGCTTTAGGTGGTCGTCGGAACTGAAGGATGTCCTGCTGCATTGCTATGAGGCCAGTGACCCGCGTCGTAGCGGCTACATGCCTCGCATATATGATAGGTGGTGTAAAATGCATCCTGAACATGAGCGCTTACCTCTCAGAACTTGCGGGATTATGTGGCGTACCTGCGGAGCAGGGATATCCTGAACATATGTTCGTTCTCCGAGGACTGGAAGGCCTGTTGCACAGGCTGAAAGGTCACCGTCAAGGCTCGCTGAGAGGGAAAGCGACACCGCAGTTCCACCTGGGGATCTTAATGATCGAAGGGTCTTACATACCATCAGGGGACCCTTAAAACTGGCAAACCTAAAGTGCGATGACGAAGGTCTTCATGAGCATCTCTCGGAGGTCTCTGACTTTTGGCGTATCAATTGCGAAGTTTACGCTGCTGCTCTGAGGTTGTCTGGACAGGGAAGAGCGAGAGACTCTCCTGTCGAGAGAGCACAGAGGAGCGTGCTCCAAATGGAAGCGAAAATCCAGTTGGCTCGTAAGGGAGCATCCCGTATCCAATGTGTGATGGACTATAGAGCGGCCGGAAGGCCTGTCACGTCTCGTGTGCGCCGCATGGTTTCTGAACTCTCTCCTTTTCGAACAGCAAGTACCACCCATAGAGCAGACACTCCGGCTTTGACGCAGTTTGAGTCCTTTGATCAAAGGAAGACATTCGTAGTGCCTTGATAGGTGCTAAGAATTTCGCAGTTCCCGATCCGATGGCATAAACACCTACTGGTGGTAGACATTTCCCAGTTGCCTCAGGCATTTGGCTAGAATTTTCAACTCGTGGTTAAATCGAGAGCAGCCAACTCGTGGTTATATCAGGAGCAACCAATTCCGCCTTGGTTTGTCGAGTGCCGAACCATGCTACTCCTGAAGACCGGAAATTTTTCGGATCCCAAGATCTACAGACTACATGTCAACGCATTGAACAAGCTTTTCACTAGAATTTTGTACATGCGTATACTCATTGGCACAGGACTCAGTGGAGTACAAGCAAAACCTTTCGATGGCATGAATTGACTATCGTAAGGTATTTGACACGACCCTTCATGAACTTATTAAGCATCTGTTGGGATGCCTTGCAGTAGATGATTAAATAGTGAGATGCATTAAGCTGGTGAAACCAAAGATCGGACAGAGTTGGTATCATTCAGAAAAGGGGTCTTCCAAGAGAACTCTTCACTGCTCCCGTTGTCTGTTGCGCTGAGAAATATGAGATGAAACAGCAGTGGCACGTCCAACAACCGGAGACACCCACCTATTTTTATGGATGACCTTTTACGCCTCTGGACAATGCGATTTACAATAGTCGCTTAGGGTAGTGCAGGAGTATAGTCGTGCTATTGGCATGGAATTTGGAATAGACAAATGCGCTATGGTTCACCTCAAGAAAGGACGATTCGGCGATCGTGCAGAATGAAAGCAGCTCGTAGATGGGAGCATTCTGCATCCTCTACATGCCGGAGAGACATATATCTACCTTGGAGTGGCGCAGCGCCATATCAAGTCTTTCCACCGTAACTACCTGCATGGACTCATGCAGACCAGTTCATCAGAGCTGTCTGCTACGAGAGATGCCTTTTAAGTTTTGCATATAGAAACATAGTAGGCCGCGCGGATCGAACGTCAGTACTGAATCTTAACCACACTCTTTAGTAAACTCAAATTCAAAGTTTCACAACAATACGTGCAGTGTTCTCACTACAGTGAATTTTTAAGTGTCACTAAGTCATTAGAAAAATGGAAATCAACCGAGAACTTTCAGAGACAATTATCGCAATAAGAATGCCTTGCTGAGTTACTGTCTGTTTTCGGCAACGAAGCGCCACGTCAGTCGACAATTTGCCGTTGGTATGGAGAATTCAAACGTGGACGGGTGAGTCTTAGGGACTATCCCAGCGTGGGTGCACCAAAAACGGCAGTCACCCAGGAAAACGTCGATGCTCTGCGCAAACTCATCATTGAAGATAGACAAGTGACATATCGCGAGATTAAGGCGTCCCTGAAGATCTCAAAGACCTCAATTCAAAA